TTGTTAAATAAAAATTTTATTTATCAGAAATAAATTTTTTTTTAGCTCAAATTAATTTACGTCGATGAAATTCACAACGTTTATGATCAACGATTGAGAAGAGAAAAAAAATTTTTCTATGCAAATTATTTATTTATTTATCCAACAATTTTTTTTTTGCAACATTTCTTGATCAATAATTTTTTGAAAAAAAAAAATTGTAGGCAAAAAATTAGTTATTATTTTTTGAGTGAAAAAAATATATTTTTTTTCAATCGTTGATCATAAAAATTGCAAACTTCACCAACGTATAAATTTTTTATTTCAATGAAAATAAAAAAATATATTTTTGCAACAAATAAATGAATTAGTACACGGAGAAAAAGAAAAAGTAATTTTTACTACTTTCAGAGTAAAACTGGACCAACTCGAAGTTTCTGCGCATCTCTGGCAATTTTTACTCCAAAAATAGTAAAATTTATTATTTCTGTAGTAAATTTTACTGTTTCCGTAGTAAGTTTTACTATTTCTAGAGTAAATTTTACTATTTTTGGAGTAAAAATTGCCAGAGATGCGCAGAAACTTCGAGTTGGTCCAGTTTTACTCTGAAAGTAGTAAAAGTTACTTTATAAAAGAAATCTTTTTTCTCCGTGTATACAAATATACAATTTGTCTCGAGTGCAGTGAAAATTTTTTTTTATGAAAAAATAAAATCTATTTTTGTTACTGTTTTTGAATTGAATGATTTTTTTTAGTATTTAAAAAAAAAAAAAAATTTTCCAAATGATTGGTGTTTATTGTTAATGAGACATATATTCGCAGTGAAGTCGTACAATAAAAAATTTGTCCAAGGAAAAAATGAATTTTTTATAGCTTTTATATATATATATATATATACCGATAAAATGCAATTTTACTCATACTTTTCTTTTTCTCTGAAATCCATGCTTTTTATGACAGATATAGAACTGAAATATACACGTGTTTTTTTCCCTATAATGTCAAAATGAAATCGTTTACGTTAAAAGCACAAAAACATCGTGGAATCGTATATATGCAAATATTTATAGATTTTCGTATATATATATATAGAATTCTGTTAAAGATCGCGCTATTTTTGTTTTAATACAAGAAAATGACTAAACGTAACGTAAACATAAATTGTTTAAACTAACAATTGTTTCTCTGATATACCACTCAAGATTTTTAATATACAAAAAAAGATAAATAAAAAATTTTTTTTACAATAAAATAAGAAAAATAAATAAGATACTGTAAATACAAAAAATGATTCAAATTTTATAGAAAAAATTTTTAGAATAAACTTTTGTCCCTTTTTTTGATAACAATAGATGCAATTTAAAAAAAAATTGATTACTCCTAAAGAACTGTTTTGTTTCAGAGACCGGAATCTTTTTTTTTTTTTTTGTCACAATAGTGAATCATTGTTTTAAAAATAATTTCTTTGAAAATAATTTTTTTTCGGATTTGCAATATTTTACTTTAAAAAAAAAAACATTTTTTATTCATTTTCTATAAACTTTTGTGTTTCATTTCTGATAAAAATATATGTACCCCTTAAGCTAAAAAAAAAAAATAGAGAAAATGAAATGAAATGTTATATTGCGTACAAAAATGGTTGGTAAACTTTTTTTCATTCCGATTGTACGTTTGATTTCTTGATTTTAAATTAAAAAGTTCTTAGTGACACGCGGCACTTCAACCAGTGACATTTCTTCCATCCATTTTCTCAGAAGTGAATAAATGTTTCGTGAGGAAAAAATAAAAAAGAAAAAACTTCAATTTTCCTTGCATTTCACGCGTGTAATGTAGCGAAAATTATTATTTATTTCTCTTCAATTGAAAATTCAATTTTTCTGTCAACTTTTTTTTTTTTTTTTTTTTTTTTTTGATTTCTCTATATAAAAACTGTTTCTTTTTTTTGTTGAATTTTAACAGGGCGCATGATTATGTTCTAAAAATCATTAGTCTGTATTTAAATTTTATCAAATTTCATTTGTCATATAATTAGTTTTGAATCGAATTTTTTATTTGTTTGAATTAGTATTTTGCGGAATTTTCATCAAAACGATTTTCTATATTACAGAATTTTTATATAATTGATTGAAAATTCACTTCACAGAATTTTTATTTTGTTCGAATTTTGATTTGTCAGAATTTTCATTCACTCGATTTTTCATTTAAAATAATAGGCATTTTAAAGAATATTTATTGGGTAGAATTTCATTGCATAGAAACAATCGACAGAAAGATTTCGGCGCAATTTATTTTAAAATCAACCAATCAAAAATTATCCATAAAATTGTGATTGGTTGATTTTAAACATCGCGTCGAAATCTTTTTGTCGTTAGTGTTTTTTCGGACATTTGCAAAATTCGGACAAATGAAAATTCTATCAATTAGAAATTCTATTAAATGATTTTTCGGTTAAATAAAAATTATGTAGTATGAAAAATCGGTTATATGGAAATTCAATAAAATAATAATTCGAACAAATGAAAATTCATCTGAAAGAATAAAATGAAAATTCTATCCAATGAAATTCTACTCAAATAAAAATTCTTTAAAATGCCTATTATTTTAAATGAAAATTCGAATAAATAAAAATTCTGTGAAGTGAATTTTCGGTTATATAAAAATTCTGTAATATAGAAAATTGTTTTGATGAAAATTATCAGGCTTCGGATCGACTTAAAGGCCCAAAAAAAGTCGTTTTAGTCGATTTATATTCCAACAATTGAATTTTCTTTGATTTTGAATTGAAATTTTGGGTAATAATAATTTAATTTTAATTGATTTTGAATTGAAAATTTTGAAAATAATTGAATTTTCTTTGATTTTGAATTGAAAATTTTGAAAACAATTGAATTTTATTTGATTTTGAATTGAAATTTTGGGTAATAATAATTGAATTTTCTTTGATTTTGAATTGAAATTTTTGAAAATAATTGAATTTTATTTGATTTTGAATTGAAATTTTAAGTAATAATTAAATTTCATAAAAATTTTAATTGAAAAATAATTTGAAATAATTGAATTTGTGATGAATTTCATTTAAAATTATTAAAAATAATTAATTTAGTGAAGAATTTTAGTTAAAAATTTGTTAAATAATTGAAATAAAGAAGATCTGAAGAAGATCTACATTTTATACTAAAAAAAAAAATGTATTTTATTTAAAAAATTTTTTTAAAAATGTAAAAAAAAGTCGAAATAATCGCATTTTATTAAAATAAATCGAAAAAAGTCGTATTTTTGAAAAAAAAAGTCGGAAATAGTTGAAAAATTCATAGAATCCGAGGCCTGAATTATGCAAAATACTAATTCGAACAAATAAAAAATTCGGTTCAAAACTAATTATGACAAATGAAATTCAAAAAAAAATGTAAATTTTGACTATTGATTTTTAGAACATAATCCAATTTTAACAATTCATTGATTGTAGAATAAAATTTTTTTTAATAAATTTTTTGAATAAATTTGAATTCTGTTTAATTTTGAACAATGTTTTTTCAATCAATTAATTTCGTAAAAATGCTTTTTTGTATTGGATTTGGAATATTTGTGATTATTTTTTTGTTGTTTTTACGATATTTAAATTTATTCGCCTTGAAAGATTTTACTTCATTAGATACAATTGAGTTAAAATTTAATAATTAACACTACCACAAATGCTCTATTAGTACAGTGAAACGTTCCATAACAAGCCATCCTTTAAATCATATGGGGGTTCAAGAGCAATTAATTCAGTTGATATTTGCGGTTTTATACGCATTATATTGTGCCTCGCTACCTTCACTACATTCATAACGCATCACCATTTTCACAAGTATAATCATACATTAATTGAAAACCGCGAATCTAAATTATTCTGCAAATTTAAATATTTCAAATCCAAATATGTAAAAATATTTTATTTTATTTCTATTAATTAATTTCTTTTAAATATTAGAATAAAATTCAATGTCAAAAATTATATTTCTTTATAATTAAAAAATTCTATCAAAATATATGTATTTTTTTTCTAATTAGGAAAAATAAAATCAGAAAAATATTTTATAACGAAAGAAATAATGAATTGATATTATAATAAAATGATATAAATGAAAAATAATGAGAATAAAAATATGATGAAAATAAAATAAATTTTTGTTAATCATGGAAATGCTTCATTTTGTGAAATGGTGAATGAACGAGGAAAAATGTGTGTATATATTTCAAGTCAGTTTTTTCAATTAGTTTCACATTTTCCTGAAAGCATTCTCACATTTCCCTCTGCTAGTCCTTGAATTGTTTATCTTTTTCAAAACTGAAAGCTTTTGAAGGATATATAACACGTTTATTAGTACTGAAAAAGGGAATCGCAAAAACAATTTTATTCTTGTTAAGAATTTAAAATTTATTGATAAAAAAAAAAATTGTTTTAATTTTCTCTCTTAATTTTAAAAATTTCTTGTTCGAAAATTAACATTTTTATTACCAATAAAAAATAATAATAATTATTATTATTAAAATAGAAAAATTATTATTATTAATAAAAAATAATATTAGAAAATTTTTCGGTGAATATATATATATATAAAAAAAGAGAATTTGGTGAAATGTGTTTTGGGAATTTTCTATTTCCTGATCTTAAACGTCAAACTAAATATACATTTCCTGTATAAATACGGATTTTTTTTTTTTTGGAGAAAATTCTTGGATAATTTGAATGCCAAGATGATTGCATCCTTCCGCGAGGCAACCAGCCGGAAGCTAATAATCATTCGTAGAGAACTTTCAGACCAAAGTAATTTATTACAAACTTAAAATCTGCAATTTGCATCCCACCCATGCACGAAAGTTCATCGCTAAAACTTGAGTGAGAAACTTCTTAACGTGACACAAAGAGCGTCATTTCTTTTTTTTTTATTTTTAATTATCTTGTTTATCGTTTTTTTTTTTAAATAATCTTTATATTTTTTTCAAATAATTAATTTCTATCGTATTTTTAATTGCAGAAATCTACAAGTTCGTTTCATAAAATGGAGACGCAGACAGAGGTAATGTATTTTTGGAAATTAAATAAAAATTATTATTTAAATTAATTAGATACTTATAATAATTATATTAAAAAATTATTAATTTAATGAATAATTATTATTATTATTATTAAATATAATTACTAATTAAAATGGCGATTTAATTTTTTTTTATATATTTATATAGCTTTTTATATTTATGAAGAGAGAAAAAATTATTTTCTTTTGATTTTGAAATACGAGCTGTTTGCTAATTACTTTGTCGATTAATTTAATGTCAGTGTGACAGTTCCATGGAAAGGTGGTTTCAAATAACCATTTGCCGCTTCAAAGCAATTTTTCCCTCTTTTATGCATAGATATTATAGTCATAGTAATTATGTAAAAATTATGAGAGGACACGAGATAATGTATTTTAAGCGTCACTTGACCCTTATTATTGCTTTTTTTTTCACCACATTCAAGTGACGCGCATTTATATTAACGAATTAATTAAATTTTTTATAATAATTTTCTTTTTGTACTGGAAAAAAATTTATTTGATTCAAAAAAATACACGACTATTATCAAATAAATATTTTACATGAACCAAATAATATTTTTATTTAAATTAAATATTTGAACCAATAATTTATTTATATTTGAAACAATAATAATTTTTATTTAAATTAAATATTTGAACCAATAATTTCTTTATTTGAAACAATAATAATTTTTATTTTAATTAAATATTTAAACCAATAATTTCTTTATTTGAAACAATAATAATTTATTTGAAATATTTATTTGAATTATTATTATTATTATTATTATTATTATTATTTGGAATCAAATAAATTTTTTTTTGCAGTGTATACACCGAGAGAAATGATTTTTTTGAACCAAATAAAATATATTTGAATTAAATAAACGTATATTTGTCTCAGAGCCTACTAACTTATTTATTTGGCGTAAATAAAAATTTTATTTGTCAGAAATAAATTTTTTTTTTCTCAAATAAATTTTTTATTTCAATGAAATAAAATATATTTGCAACAAATAAATGAGTTAATAGGCTCGGAGACAAATATATCATTTCTCTGAGTGTAATAACTCTTCAATGAGATTTTAAAATTAATATCTAATAAAATAAAATTGGAATTTTATTAAAATTTTTTACTTATTTAATTTTTTGCCTAATAAATATTTCTTGTAGTTTTCATTAATCAACAAATTATAAAAAAAATATTTTTTAGGCAAAAAATTATAGAATTTTTTCATTTTAAAAAATTATTTCTTTAAAAATCGTTTATATAAATACGTTGCGTACTTCAGCTTTGTATTTAATTATAAATAAATCTCACAATAGAAAAAAGTTAAATATATATTTCTTTTAATTTCCATTAAGTAAAATGAAAAAAAAGCTAAGATCGATACCAGGTTTCGTTACAAGTCTAAATAATATGAAAGCGATCAATCTTAGAATTCACAAAAATTAATCTTTTGAAATCAAAGGTGAAAAGAAATGAAATTGAAAAAATTCTTAAATCCACTTCCTATAGGAGAAATAAACTACTATTTCGTTTATATCATTAAGAGAATTAAAAAAAACAATTTTTTTTTTAAATTGAAAATAATTAATTTTTTAAAAATATTTTTTTCAATTTCGAATCCAATTTATAAGAGTTTTGTTTTTTAATTTTAGAAATTTTGAAAATACAAATAAATTAATTTTTTTTTTTTTTTTTTGTTTATTATCAAACATTTTTATGAAAGTTAATAGGAATTTTATAAAGTTGTAATAACTTTGAAAAGAATTTCAGGACTATCGGTTTTCTAAAAAAGTAGTTCACGGTGAGCATTTATATTATCCAACAAAAGAGGATATTTTCTAAGAAGGAATCTGGTTCCATTAAAGCTGTTTTCAAAAGTGGATAATTTTCACACTCCAGTTATTCAGTTTTTTTACCCCCCCCCCCACAATAATGCGAAAGCAAAAAAGAAATGATTCTCTTTATTAAAAAAAAAAAATGTTTTAGCATAAGATTCCAAGAATTTTCACTATATTTGGTCGAGAGTCTATTTTTCAAATATAGAAACATAGAGTAAACCTTGACAATTAATTAAGAAATTTAAGATTCCAAGTTCATATGGAATTTATTCTAAAAGTCATCATTTAGAATTTATATAAATTGAACTACCAACAAGTGCGCATATTTATTGTCGCGTTTCTCATTTTCAAAGGAGGATGTGCTTTATATCAGTGTCAAAAAAAAAAATTACTTTGCAATTTTTTTTAAAAATCGCCAACTATTAATTAATTTATTCGTCAAATCACGTTAAATTTTTTTGTTTTGTTTTACACATAAAATATATTTTAAATTTTCTAAAAGTAACTATAATTTAATTAAATTATTCTAATCGAGAAATTAATTAATAATAAAAATATATTTTATTTCATTTAAATAAAAGATATTTTTTTAAGCCAAAGAAAAATTTATCACAAATAAAATTTTTATTTACGCCAAATAAATAGAGATAAATATACAATTTATTTAACTCAAATATATTTTATTTGGTTTAAATAATTCTTTTCCCGGGTTGTATATAAAAGTGCAAGTACTTCGAGAGTGTTATCGAATATTTTGAAAATTCAAAAAAAAAAAAAATGTGAGTAGAAAATGTGTAATTCTCCAAATAATTTTATAATTAAAATTAATTTAATATTAAAATTTACAATATTTAAACTCAAATTCAACTGTATTTACAAAATTTATTGCCCTACTTGTTGAAACTAAATTTAAATAATTGAAATAAAATTGAGTTTCATTGTTGCAAATTTGTAGGTCACTTTGAAAACTAAAGTGGACGCTTTTCTCTCTCTCTCTCTCTCTCTTCTAAAATGAATTTTCTTTCTCCTTGAAATAAAGTTTTTTTCGATGATTGAAAAAGCCTTCTAGAGCCTATATAGTTTTTTTTTTTTTATTTATCTTTAATTTTTTTTATCTCCTCTTTAAAATATATTTCTTCACTTTTTTGATCCTTCGGTCTAATTATAATAATTATTTTTAATATATTTATAATTCATAATGTATATATATTTATAATGTATAATTATTAATTAATTTTGATTAGAATAATTTAATTAAATTACAGTAACTTTTTTTTTACAAAATATTTGATTTTCAATAAGAGGGGAAAAACTGAGTCTTTAATATTCTTGAAATTGAATTGAGATTCAAAGAGGGACGAGAGAGACAAGTTAAGTTGAATTTACTCCACTTGGTCGGTCAGACTATAAACGACCTTTACTACTGAAATTTATACATCTTCAATTTTCTTCCCCTCCTGTTTTATTATAAAAAATCCTTTTTTTTTAGTGAAAATGCAAATATTTGTCAAATTTAACAACATTATATCAAATAAACAAAAAATTCAGGGTGTCTACTAAAAATCTGAATTAAAATTCCAGGACAAATTTCTTATTTTTCCAGGACATTAAATTGGATGACCTTAAGGAATAAAAAAAATTTTTTAGTTTAACTATTGTTTTCAGAAATTATTAAAAAATTAATTAATTATTTAAATAAATTTTCATTTTACTTATTTAATGAATTTTTTTTTTTTTAACTTGATTGACAAAATTATAAATTTTTGCTAATTTAAAAGCAAAATATAAAAAATTCAAGGACAAAAATTAAAAATTCCAGGACTTTCAAGGACATTTTTTCAAATTCCAGGATATTTCCAGGACTAGTAGACACCCTGAAATTTGTAAAATTTTAATTTTCAAAATAAAAATTACCGTAATTTTTTATTCTAACAATTTTTTTTTTAATCCTACGACCCAAAAATAAAAAATAAATTTTATTAAATAAAAATTTAAAAAAAAATAATTTTTTAGTTTCTAACAATTTTTTTTTTTTTTTTTAATATTACGACACGAAAATAAAAAAAAAAATTTTTTTAAATAAAAATTAGAATTTTTATTAATGCAAAAAAAATTTATAGAAAATGTTTATTGAATTTCTTTGGGTATTTACGTGACAAGTTTACTCGCGCTTTATTCGTACACGTGACAAGAGACACGTCAGATACAGTGCGGCTTTTATATATATATATAGAGAGAAAATGCTTTTTCTTTGAAAAAACGAATGTCTCTTATATATATATTTCTTGAAATACTCTGCAAGAACTGAACTATATATGGCTTACGATCTCTTATGATTTCTCATCTAGAAGATTTTCTTTCTATATAAACATTTTCTCCATTATATACACAATTCACAATTATATTTTCGACGAACACATTTTTCATCTTAAAAACTCGCGGGGGCTATTATAATAACTTTTAGATTTCAATTTTCCGGAAAATTTGTCTCACAAAAATATAAAATGACAATGACATTTTTTTTTTTAAATTGAATTTTAATTAAGCTCGATGTACGCAAAAAAAAAAAGGTGAAAATAAATAACTATTTTCCCTTTTTTATGTTTTTTTTTAGACTCAATAGAATTTGAATTAATTGATAAAATTGGAATTCAAAATGTTTAGCGAAACAGTTTATTAAATCGATTATTAATTGCCACAAAAATAATAAATATTATTTAATTTAAAAATTACTAATATTTAATTGCTTTGTAAAAAAAAAAATTATTTTTTAAAAATGTGAAACGATTATAAGAATTGAATTTATAAGTTTCTTCAAATTAAAAACATAAAGCGATAAAAGTTTCCAAATTGATAAAAATTATCTTTGTATACTAAGTTTTAATTAAATTATGAATAATTTTCTATGCAGCATCTTTTACGAGTATGCCTAACTATAATAGTATTAAATGATCGTATTAGTTGAAAAGTTTCTGCATCTTAAACGATCTGTCAGTTTAAAGATAATCCCCCTAATCGCAAAACTTTACGTTCAGAGAATCAGTGTTTATTAAAAAAAAGAAAAAAAAATACTTTTTAAAATTAAATTTTCAATTAATAATACTAAATATAAAGAAAATGCGTATAAAAGAAGCTTTTTCTTTCAGAAATCC